AAATCTTTGCTTTCCATTATGTTTCAATAGTCAAAGAACCTTTGTACTCACATTAAAAATGCTTCAATTCTTCATTGGCAGGAGTCCCAAATCTGAGCTGAGGCATTTCAGTCCATGTGTGGACTGAGCCTGTGCCTGGTGCCAAGTGCCCATGTGTATTCAGAAGCAAGGCAAAAGTGGAGCTGTGCAAAACAGCATGGGAGCCCTGCTAGGACCCCTCGGGCTTGCGTGCCCTCCATTTTGAATTAAGTTTAGGTCATTACATGCTCAGAAATCTTTTACTGTCATCACATTTTCATACCCCTCCATATTCAGTTGTGAGACTCTGTAGGGGACTGACCTATAGTTTAAGAGGCTGAGTCTCCTTATGCCAGGGCGCTTGCCACTCAGCCTGTGAGGAGTCACAGCCTATGTTTCCAATCCTGACTGGAGGTGAGTCAGCCAGCCCCTGATTTGGGCTGGTCCTCGGACGCCCATTCTTTCCTTTTCCACACCAGATTTGTTCTTAGCTGGTCTGTGGAGCCCAGTTAACATGTGAAGTGGATGTCAGAAGGTTGGCCTGATCTATGCAGTGGAAACTAATATGGGAATGCATAGGTGGGGAAGAGTAGGAAAGCCCCCCAGAGAGGGCGAGGCAGAGTGTGGGGAAGTGCCGCATGTGGGACACAGGGAGCTGTCTTTTGTGGGTGTTAGGAGCTTGCGTCTTTCTTGAGTTAGTGGGTAAACATTGGAAGTTCAGATTCTCCTTGACCAATGCTGGGGTTGCATTCTGACAAACCCATCACCATGCTGCAAATATCATAGGTCAGAAATACATTTTTTTTTTGGTTTTACGAGACAGGGTTTCTCTGTATTGTTTTGGAGGCTGTCGGTCCAGCCTGGCCTCGAACTCCCAGAGATCTGCCTGCCTCTGCCTCCCGAGTGCTGGGATTAAAGGCGTGTGCCACCACCACCCGGCTTCAGAAATACATTTAATGACAAGGCCTGCTGGGCACCCTCGCTTAGCATCACGGGGCGGGGGGTACTCGTGTGGAGTGTAGGTTGTTCCCCTTCCCTGCAAGGCTGGTGGGGAGTCGAGTGTTGCTCACACTGCCCAGTGTGGAGAGAGAAAATTAAACTGCACATGGTTGACCCACAAAAAGATAAATGTCGAACTCTAGGATACAGTCTCTATTGAATGTGTATCACTTTTGCATGATCACAGAGACAAGGGATTGTTAAGTCAGAGTGGGGAAGTCATGAACTATATTTTTTCTGGTGTTGGGCCCAAACAAGGGACTTTTAATGTGTAAGTATTCTACCACTGGTGAGGTCCCTACCTGGCTGTGTATTTTATATTTCTTCTTTGTTCAGTGTGTCTACTGTCTATGCACACACGTGTTGCAGTGTGTGTGTGTTTGTGTGTAAGCCAGAAGTTAATGTTGGGTGTCTTTCACTATTGTTCCACACTTTATATTTTGTGGGTTTTGTCCTGTCTTGGAACTCCAAGAGACTTCAAAGTTGGCCCTGCATTCCCAGGGATCTGCTTATTTTGGTCTTCCAAATGCTGGGATTAAAGGCCAGTGCCACCATGTCCAAGCTGTCCATCTTGTCTTCTGAGAACAGAGTCTTTCACCGACCCTCAAGATCCTGGAATGTCTATATAACTCATCTGTAAGCTCTGGGTAGGTGTTGCTGCCATACCCTCTTCCCACCCCAACATTAGGGTTACAGATGACTATTACAGCTTTTTATGTAGGTACAGGGGATCCAAACTCAGGTCTTCAAGCTTCTGTAATAGGCATTTTACCAGCCAAGTTATCCCCCAGCCCCTAGATTATTTCTTGATTACTAAGCAGTTTCTTTAATAAGTTTTTACAACATTTATTTGTGTGTGTGTGTGTGTGTGTGTGTGTGTGTGTGTGTGTGTGTGTGTGTTTAGGTCAGAGGAAAACTTGAGGGAATCAGTTTTCTCATGCCACTATGTGGGCTCCAGGATTGAACTCAGGCTTGGCAGCTGGGACTTTTCCCCCTTGAGCCCTTTGGCAAATCCCTGTGAGAAATTTCTTTAGACAAAACATTACATGGAGGCTGGCCCACACCTGCATTTGGGTTGCATGATGTTGGCATTTGGGAAGAGTCCTGGTCAGGGTTATTGGAGGTGATGAGGTGGACACTGTCAAGGGCTGAGGCAGTGGAGGGGGATGGGACTGTTCAGAACAGGGCTGGGTCTATTTGCAACCCTTAGGTCACCCAGCTTCTGGCATGCTCAGTGCCTGGTGAACACATGTGGAATAATACCAATAGTACCAATTACTGCTCACAGGTGTCACACATGTACCATGTGCCTGTCAGCTTCTTAAGAGTCGTACATGGGCTACCTCAGTTCTGCTTGCAGTTGTGAGGTAAGTAGCACCACTGTCTCAGTGAGGGGAGAGTTGAAACACAAGGAGACTCAGCGACTTTCAAAGTCAACTCCACTTGGAACCAGTGGAATCTGTATTCGAATCCATGAACTCTAAGTCTTGATAACCATCCCAGGGATCAAAGCAATTTGTTTTTATAAATGGAAGGGCGACTTTAGAAAGAAATTTAAGGACTTTCTTGTATTTTTCTCTCTCTCCCTTCCCTCCTCTCTTTTGTGAGAGATTTGCCATAGCATTATGTGAATTTATTGGATTTATAATATGGGTTACAGAGGCAACAGTTTCAGTTAAGGAAAATTGGCTGCTTTTTCCAAATGTCATGTATCTCATTTTCTTTCAGCAGCGCTGGCCTTCTCCAGCTCCTCTCAGCTCCTACGTCATTCAGAAGTAGGCCCCACAATTAGAATGTGAGAAACCCTCACACACCAATCTGGGTTTTGATATTTGTTCCAAGGGACACTTAAAATAAACCCTGAAGTTGATTATGAAAGAAGAGAAATGAATGGGAACTAGAGGATATTGAACAAGAAGTGAACGCGGGGCAGTCGGACATTGCCAATGACGAGGGACCCCATTCATCCATGAACAAACCACCCACCCCTCTGGTTCTCCCGAGGGTACATAGGTCTTTCTCTGTCCCCTGTCTGATCCCACACCCATGTCTTATATGTCCTTCCTTCTCCTCTCTTCTTCCCTCCTTCCTTCTTTGGTTTAGTCTTTGAATCACTGACCAATTCATCCATTTCTGTTTTTTATTTTTAAAATCCAAGGGCAATTTTATTGGAGTTTGAAAGGACCTCCCACTCCCAGGCAGGCAATCAGTAGATCTCAGTAGCTGCCTGGAAAAAGAAAATGGAGGGGAGAGAGAGGGAGGGAGGGAGAGAGGGGAGGAGGGAGGGAGGGAGGAGAGGGAGAGAAAAGCCACACTCTAAGCTGGCATGAGGTCAGGCACATAGTAGACAAGCAACCACATGATGTGGAGGGAGGCTTTAAAGAAAGAGACAGGAAGCCTAAAGTATTGCTGGGCGGTGGTGACACACGCCTTTAATCCTAGCACTTGGGAGACAGAGGCAGGTGGATCTCTGTGAGTTCGAGGCCAGCTTGGTCTACAGAGCTAGCTCCAGGACAGCCAGGATTATTATTTAGAGAAACCCTGTCTCAGAAAACCTTAAGAAAAAGAAAAGAAAGACAAGAAAAAGTGCATGTTAGGTTCTGGCCAGAATCTGAAAGAAAGTGACAGAGAAAGGAGAATGAGGAGCTGTTCCTTCTGACTCAGGCCTTAGAAAGGAGGGCAGACCCAGCGGACCCTCACCATGGCTCATAGGAATCACAGTGGGAATATGAGGACAAGGGAGGGGAGTTCTGTGAAGGAAAAGTGCAGTACCCCATTAAAGAAACGAGCCCTCATGGCTTAAGATGAGCTTGCCTTTTAGGGGTGGTCCCTTGATTGGATGAATGACTCACTCAATTGGAATGTTAGGCTTTGTCTCCATCCATGCCAAAGGTTCTACTTTCTTTCCATTACCTGGCTGTTATTGCTACTGTAACTTGCCCTCTCTGATGAAGTAGCCCTAACTATTCTTACAGAATTGGGCCGATGGCTGATCTGAGATCTTAGATCTGAGGTGTGGAAGTGTTGAGTGTGGCATTGACTCCTCCTTTTAATAAACATCTATTGGGCATATGCTCCCTTCCTGACACTGTGTTGGCTGCCAAGGACGCAAATCAGTAGACCACAGTTCCTGACTATGAGGAGCTCCTCAGCTAGCAGAGAAGATGGACATGAAAGCTGATGGCTCATGGTAGGGTACATAAGAGCCAGGAAGAAAGGCAGCCCAAGGAAGGAATGACTGCGAAGTGGAATGTGATCTAGCACAGGGCTTTGTTTTTTTTTCTGTAGCCCCTTAGTGTTTATACCATTTCGCAAGAACCAGTCTGGGATGGCTGACTTACTTATTAAACATATTTTATATGCCTAGAATTGCTGTAGAGCATTTATAATCATTTATATACAGCACTGCTAACAACCCCAAAGGAGTTTGATTTATAGATGTTAAATCCCTCATCACACAAATAATAAGAAGCAAAAACGGGATCAGAAAGAGCAGAGAGAGAGAGAGAGAGAGAGAGAGAGAGAGAGAGAGAGAGAGAGAGAGAGAGAGAGAGAGAGACGTTTAAATTCTTCTAATGTGGGTCAGATTCTTGGGTCCTGGCCTAGGACAGATAGGGACATAGGGAGTTAATTAAACAGAGGTGAGCAAACGTGTCCAAAAGTGACTCAATCAGTTTCTATTATATAACAGAGTACTGCTAAAAATTTCAGTTACACTGCTAAGGTTTTCTGTGAGATAACCTCATCTGAGCTTCAAAGTATGGCAGTGGTTGAGCTAAATTCCCGATGTAGATTTTCTTTAATGACCTGTTCCCTGTTCATTCATTCTGGGTTCCAGATCCTGGCTCTGAGCTAAAGACTCGCTAGAGTCTGAGCCCTGAACACATACCGCCCTTATTTGAACTTGTCTCTTTGGTAGATTACAAGAGCATAAACCAATTACACAAACACATCACAAACTTCTAAATGTATTTGTTTGTTAGCGTATCGTCAGAGAACCTATGCCGTTAAGCACAAATCAAGAGATGGGCAAGAGTGCATTTCATCACATGATCATATTACATCACGTGACCTGGTCCAACAACAAGAGAAGGCATACCTCTTCTAAAGAGAGGTAACAAAGAGGGAGTATTTTCTTTCTTTCTGTTTATTTTTATTTTATGTGTATGGAGTTTTGCCTGCATATATGTCTGTGCCCACGGAAGACATGAGACCACCTGGGACTAGAGTTACAGATGGTTGTGAGCTGCCATGTGGGTGCTGGAGATTGAACCCGGGCCCTTTGGAAGGATCAGCCAGTGCTCTTAAGCACTGAACCCCCTCTCCAGCCCCAAGAGTAAATATTTTCCAACTGTCATCTAAGAGTGGCAGCAGTTTTTTAGCCATAGTCCTAAAGGAAGAGTTGCAGGGTAGAAGCTGGAGAAGCTCCATGTGCAGAGCCCACGTCCTCAGGGCGTGCTCCTTTCCTGCAATGAGGTTACTCTATGGAGTAACCCAACAGGAAACTCACCTGGGCTTCCTACTGGGGCAGCATTGCATTAGCATGGTTGATTACCCACAAGGTTGGATTTGGTCCCCACCCTGTCACCATAAACCATCAAAAGTAGCCAGAGGAGCTACAGTGAACAACAAACATGAAATGTTTAAGACCGAGAGGTCGCCTTCCTGGATCCAGGAATAAACATCAGACCCCTCTTTGGGAATGATTAAATTTGTTCTCAGACAGCAGTAGTTTGAGAAGTGTTGCTTTTAGGGAGGGGTGGATCCCTGTAATGGCTCATCATCTTCTGGCACCTCTTGGCCTTAGTAAATTCAGAACAGAACAGTTTGGGACTAGACTCTTCAGCTGTTAACATTTTTTTCCTGAACTCACATTCCCCCCCTCCAAAGCAGGATTCATAAAGTTTTCTTGCATATGGAGACCCCCCCAATCATCAGCTTTGCATGGTTCACATACTTCTACTCAGTATAAAGTTTTAAAATACATAACAAATAATGTGCAGTGAATATATGCCCACTATAAAGTCCTTATAAAACCCAATACCATGAACAACAAATATATACCAATATAAATATGCAGGATTCAAGAGGAAGTAATTATATTGTAACACAGCTATCCAAATGTTAAGAAATATTTTGTAATGTTGTAGTAAATGTGTATATTTACTGACATTTTAAATCTCAAGCTAGCGGAGGGTTTAATAATTACTGTGATTTCAAAGCAGTATTGAGCATAAATATTTAACAACATTTGATACATGCAGCAATCATTAGGTGACTGAAAATATCAATGGGTTTTATTAGTGGAAATTCTAGATCCTATGGCTGCTTGTGGTTTGTTGCCTAAATTCATAATGGAAAAAGTGCTACATTTCAGTCAGAGATTCATGGGCAAAAATGATGTAATGTTTTGCTCAAGTACAAATAGTTCACTTGATTATTGATAGACCTATAAACCCCAGGTTCAGGAGCCTTGCTTCAAAGTCTTGTGTGATATGTACTTATTTTTAATTGTGCATTGAATGACAATCCAATTTGTTTCAAGAAAATTTTGAGAACTTTGAAAGAGTCCTCGAGAAAATTGGAGGCACCCTGGAGTTGAACAAAGCTTAACTGGGTTTGTTGTGTGGCTGTCTGGATGGATTTATGAGTAAAAGTGAGTGGGGGAATATTGATGACCAATAATCCCCTCATCTGAAAAATCTATGTTGTGTGACATGGATTCGAGGTGGGCTTGCTTTGGCCGCTTATCAGTAATGGGATTGAAATTTATTCAACCCCAAAGCATTGGCCCTGTGCCAAGGTGAGGATGGAAGAAAAATAAATGAAAATTAAGAAAAGCTGAAAGAAAACCAACTGTGCACAGCCTTTGGGAAATCCATTTGTGGCCACCGAGTCAGCATCCATCTGGAGTACACCAGCATTTTCACACCATCCAAGACGGAAAGAAATGGACGAGTCCCAAGAGCAAGACTAATGTTTGAATAAAAGCCATTTTCTGAATGACCCGCAGAGATTTTTATTATGCTCATGACTTTTTGGAATACTATCCATTGGCACTGTAAAACATTCCTTTCACAGAAGCCTTTTCCTGTTGGTTCCCTTAGAAGGGCTGTGAGGGTGGCGGCTAACTGTCGGGTGCAAGCCAATGTTTCAGAGCAGTGTGTTCCCTGGGAAGGAGGGGGTCACAGCTTGCTCATATCTCTGTCAGTCCTAGGTGACAGACTGGCTCTTGGTGTGGGTCTCCTTGAGGGGCCACACTTGGTGGGATGCTGGGAGTGGGTTGAGGAATATGTGTGTTCTGATCTGTTTTCCACTTTTTTTTTTAAAGTCAGGGTTTTAGGTATTCAGGCCAGCCTTGAAGTGTCATGTAGTCTAGGATGATCTTGAATTCTGATCCTCCTGCTCTACCTCTCCAGTGCTAGGGTTACAGGGTGCACCACTGTTCCTGGTTTATGCTGTGCTTAACCCAGGGCTTTGTGTGTTTGGCAAGGGTTCTTCCAACTGAGCCATATTTCCTGTCCCCTGATCCACATTTCTTGTTCTCCTGAGCTACTTTAATTGTTAGAGATTTGATGATACAAAGGGAAGTGAGGATGGGGGATGAAGGGGGAGTGTGGGGGTGTGGGGGTTGAGGGTGATCCTGCTCTTGAGGCTGAGGCTGATCTACTGTTTCAAGGCTCTACGATAGCAGTCAAACCAATATGAAATTACTAGAGCCTTCCTGAGATCTCAAGGAATAGAAGCTAAGAGGTTCTAGGGCATCACACAGATGTACTCTGCCTTGATGTAGGGCTGAGGCCAATACCCCAGAGCCCTGGGAAGAGATCTTATTGGCACCAGGAGGAATATGTTTCCCTTGGATTTCGAATCATGTCTTTTATCCACCATGTCCAAGATGGGAGCAGGGATCTCCTCTCTGAGCTACTCTCAGGTTAACAGCGAAGCCAGAGTCTTACGTGAGATATGCCTCTTCAGCCCTTTATGTCTATCCCATTCTACCCAGTCTGTCTCCTCATTGTATTTGCACTCTGCATGCAGACTGCCACCATCCTGTTAGTCAGCATCATTTTTTTTCTAGAGCCAAGGTCTAGATCTGTAGAATGGACTCATGGAGGCTCCACATCTTGTTTTGACCTTTTCACCAATTGTTGTAGGAATGTCTTATAACCAAAGGACAGAATGCATTTGCTTAGTATCCATTATTTATCACATTTATGTTTTGTTCTTTGGCCATTTCACACATGTATATAATATATTCTGTTCATATTCAACCTTTATCCTTTCTTCTCAATTCTAACTCCTTTTGCATTCCCTCTTTCAACAAGTCACCCTCTGTATTAGTATATCTATACCAGCTATACATTCTTGGACTGGGGAAATAACCACAGGATGAGTTCAGGGACCCACTAGACCTACTGTGAGTTGAACTTCAGCCAAACACTATTAGTAACCTGTCTTCCACAAGCCCCAACTTTAATTTGAGGGCCACAATGTTTTTTTTGTGATTTTTATTTTTTCAAATCTCCCAGATTCAGCATCAGTTTCCAATAAACACTGGAAAGCCTGATTGTTTATAAAAGGCCACAAGTCTTGCTGGGGAAGGACTGGAGGAAGGCTAACAGTAACATTTTTAGGTATTTTCGCAAGGTCCTTCCTTAGGGAGCCTGGCTGTCCCTGCATTCAAGGTGTTATGGGTCTGCAAATGACTCAAGTTTGGAAATTGATTCATGGACTGAGATTCCCTTTTGCCGTGATCTGATGTAGCCTTTCTCAAGTTTGAGAATTTTTCTGCTCATACTGATCAAACAGAAATACACCAGGCTTCCTATCTCATGCCTGGAAACACCATGATTCATTAGCTAGAACCAAAGGTCCGTATGAGTCATGCCACCGTAAGGCTCATTTGCCTGTGCTGACCATTACAGGTTAAGCCATTATGGATGCTACTTTGTCAGTACTGCTCATCACAGTAACTGCGATCACCTTGGCATTGGCAATTCAATGCTGCCACTTGGTCCCATCAAACCTATTGGTTTACTTCATCTAACTGAGAAGCAGTGTCTCCAACTCTAAGGTCTGGCACAAGAAAAAGGGTGACAGCAAAGCTCTTCAAGTGTGCCGGTGCCCCTTCACCATTCTGCATCTCAGGATTAGTGGAGGGTCTGTCTTCTGGGCCTCCCTATTGTGAGGATTAGGTCTCACACAGCACACCCAATCTGGCATTGCAATTTCCCTAAGCCTTAAAAATCTCTTCATTAACACTAAGCCAAAGGATGTCAGGCATCTCCACCTCCTTTTCAGTAGTCCATCTTTTCACAGATGCTTCAACCAATCATTCAAACAAACTTTTGACATATAACTTTTTTTAAACTGTGAAAGCTTCCATATTAAATCTAGAATCTCCACTCAGAGGGCCGTTTTAATGAACTCTGTCTGACATTTTTTTAACCATTTTATGTTTTATGTTCCTTCACTATTATCCCACACCCTTAAAAATCCATTCCCATACATATTCTCCAGACTTCTGCTTCAATACATTGCAAACTCATTAAGCTCTTTAGTAGTGTAGCACACCTCCTTATGGACTAGACTTTCTACCCCCACTCCCAGGAACCTGCCTTGCCTGAGGGACATTAGTATTGTCTTCCCAGGCATTTTATTTCCTTCCAAGAAAGTCATTGCTGGTTTAGCAGACAAAAATGAAGGGTCAATTTTCTCAGTTAAAAGCAGAAAAGGTAATATTTCAGGGGGTGGCGGTGTTAGTACCTTTTCTTCTGAGGGTGGAGAGACTTTCCTTAGGCGAGATAAGCACTTGAGAGTCTGAGGGTTATCTGAAACTTCTCAGCTTCAATAGGGTACACACACAAATCTCATTCTCAGGTTATAGCATCCCATTCTTTACCAATTAGTGGTCTTACTTTAACCTCTGACACCCTCTGAGGCTGGGACTTGAATTTCCGCTATAATCCAGCCAACTTTATAATGAAGACTTCAGCTTGATTTTTTTCAACCTGAGGTGTATGGTTGCTGGAGAAAATGTTCTCCTCCAGGGCACACTCAGAAATCATTAGACTGTTTGTATGCATCTGGAGCTAGTCTATCACTGAGTTCCACTGTCGTCTTTCACTGTAGTTAGAGATGTTAGAAGCTGGTTAATTTTTATCATGGAGCTAATTCCTTTCCCTTGTCTATTTATCCAAAGAGGATAGGAGCAACCAACCAGCATAATCATTTCCCTATTTTTTTTTACAAAGTGTCAAAAGTTTTATATACAGAGTCACCAAATCCCCTGCTGCTCACAACTGGCGAATCAGGATAATCAAATACATTCATCTCCTTAAGTTTGTAAAATACATCACACCATTGCCTTCAGTATTCTTCAAGCTCCCAGGAGAGGCTTCAGTAACCAGAGCAGCTTAGATAACTGTGGGTGTTGAGTAATTGGAAAGCCTCTTCCAGATACTTAAAAAAAATTATCCTTATACCTCTGTTGCTCCAGAACCACTTCTGATATCAATATGTATATTAGTCAGGGTTCTCTAGAGTAACAGAACTTATAGAATTCACACATACACACACACATACACACACACACACACACACACACACACACACACACACATGAAGGAGATTTATTAGAATGAATTGCAAACTGTGGTTCAGCTAATCCAACAATGGCTGTCTATGACTGGAAGGTTCAAGAATTCAGTAGTTGTTCAGTCCATGAGGCTGGATGTCTCAACTGGTCTTCAGTATATTCTGGAATCCCTCAAAAGTAGGGTCTAATGCCAGTGAAGAAACAGACTTGCTAGTGAGAGCAAGAGCAAGCAGGCAAAGAGCAAAAAACCTTTCTTCTTCTGTGCCTTTATGTAGGCCTCCAGCAGAAGGTGTGGCCTGGATTAGAGGTAGGTATTCTACCTCAAAAGATTTGGCTTCTAGGTGTGTCTTCCCACCTCAAAGATCCAGATTAGAAGTGGACCTTCCCACTTCAAATTAAACAAAATACCTTCTTGGTGTGTACTGTTTTGGGGTTTTAGTTAATTCCAGATATGTAGTCAAGTTGACAACTAAGAATAGCCATTACACCTTCCTAAATTCATGACTTTTTTTTCAATTACCCACTGATTTTAATCAAGGTTGCTTCCATGTGCAAAGGAGTAGGGCTATTTGCCCAATCATAGGCAATTTATCCATGGCCATGCCACTGAGGAAAAAATGTCTACCCCAACCCCAGAAGCCATTGGTTGCTGATAGCTTTTTCACTAATTTTTTTTAATGTACTCATTCAATGAGTACGTATACAACACCAATTATATGCTATAAGCTCTGTTTTAGGTCTAACTGGGATGACATTGAGTGTTAGCTTGGAATCAGCTTAGAGTGTTTTTGCTGTCAATCCAGTGATGACCATTCAGATTTGTTTTAAGAAACAACTTTCATCAACCATTTTATTTTATTTTTGAAATAATGATGAAAAACTTTGAACATAAAGAAGAGCTTGGAAGGTAAGGAGACTAAGAACTTGTCATTAATATGAATCCATTTTTCATTACTATAATAAAATACTTAGAGTAAGGTAACACAAGGAAAAGAGGTATATTTAGTTCATAGTTTTCGATACCGAGCATCCAAAGAGTGTGGCATGGTCTCTGGTAACAGTTCCTCCTGGTGAGGTCACCTGGTGGTGTGTGACCATGTTAGGAGCCTGTGTGGGAGGAGATATCATGTTGTAAAACTGGATTCAAGAGAGATATTTGGGGGTTGGGTTTGCTTTTAACATGCTCACAAGGAAGCCTGAAGTCTCCATGAGAACTACATTAATTCCTTCTGAGATCAGCTCCCGCAGGAATTGGATGACCTGCCTTTGGGTCCCATATCTTCAAGGTTCCACCTCCCAACATTGTGATGATCAAGCTTCCAGCACATGACACTTTGGGTGACACACTTAAATCACATCCAAACCAGAGCACTGCCCCAAAGGAGCACACAGGAGCCTTGAATCATATTGT